GTCTGTGGCTGGAGTTCACAGCAGAACTCCCCACAGTCCGGCGAGGTGTGTGTGTGTGCGCACACATCCATTTTATCCTGTGATATCACTGCTCTTTAGTGGAAATTTTTAATTGCAAGGCATTGCAGTGAATTGTTGGTCCCTTGGCATTTCCGAAGCTCTCAGCAGAGCTGCTTGGATTTTTTATTAATTCAGGATGGGTTTTTTTTTTTTTGGCTGACTACCGTAAACGACGTAAGGCTTTAAAAACTGATCAATAATCCTGATGGTAGCAGCAAAATCCAGGCCAAGGAAGCGTGAGTGTGAGCCAGAGATTACGTGAAGAAAGTTTTAAATACCTCTGACTCCCTTCCTTTCCATGGACTTTTTTTGCCCTACTGCTTCCCAATGCTTCTGCAGCCGAATCCATTAATATTTCTCATGCTTGTTGAGCCCGTGACAGGTGATTTTAAAGCCCCAGTTTACGATGGCACTCCACTCCTCATAAGCAGAGCTGAAACACATCGGTGCTGTCCATATGTGGATTAGCTGTGATTTATTACTGTTGTTCCCAGGTTGGAATGCAGAGGTGCTGTCTCATTCCAGGAGGGTTGTCTGTGGGAAGCGAGCCCCCCAAGGAGGACAGTTTGACAAACACCCACAATCAGCAGCACGACATCATTCRGGCGCCTGTTTTAACTTCTTCATTGAGGAGTCACCTCCTCCTTGCCTCAGCAAAACCGACTTTACAGGCTTAAAAAGGGGAAGAAAATGTGGGAAAGAGCCATCCTGGGTTTGATCTGTTGCTCTGCCTTTGATAAGGAAGTTGTTGTGGTTTAGGGGTTGGAGTTTGTAGGAGCAGTTTTGGCTCAAGTTTGCAAGGAGCGAGCAGTTTGTTGTGTGATTGTGTCTCTCCCAACACGAGTCTTCAGCTTCTTGTCTTCCTTCAGAAAATGGTTGTCTCATCCCAAGGGAGCACTGCTGTGTAATTTGTGGGTAATCAAGGGGAACAGACCTCAGAGGAAGAAGTTTCCAGCATCTGAACAGAATTGTCTTGAATGGGAGAAAATGGGGTCTTAGAAATGACAGGTGTGCTACTGGCTTTTCCTGGCTCAGRATRTAAYKACTTTGGYGGGAGCAKGGGAGGAAAACTTGCTTTCTGGGAKCTGCSACAGAGCTGCCTGCCTTCCATCATTACCTGAGTGGTGTGTCCTTGGACCCAGTCCCCACAAAGGGAGAGTGAGGAGCACTWGGGCCTGTGGTAGTTTGCAGGCTGGCCTGGGAAGGATGGGTAATCCATCATCCAGTTCTCTCCTTCTCTTGGGAACTCATGGCTTTTGGGGAGGGCAGTGTGGCTGTAGTCTGTGCCATCCCCTGCAGATCCTGGGCTGCTGCTGCTGCCACTCTCGAGGCACCTGCTCTGTCCCCAYGGGAGATGCAGGCATCCTTGCTGAACGTTTTCTGAGCCTTTGGCTGTGGTTTGAAAGGCAGGGTGCGTCTTGTGGCAGGTTTGCTTGGAGGTGCTGGGTCTGGGGTTAAAAGTTAACAATGCTCTTTCCTTATTCCATTCTAWTTCAATTTGGAAAGGCAGCAGGGAGACAGAGGGTACTTAGCCCTCTAAGTGCTATTCCCTTGATGGGGAGTTAGTAGCTTTCACGGTATAGTGGCGTTTATTCTGTAAGCTGACCTTTACCTCCCTCAGGTTCACTCTCATTTATAACACTTAAAAAAAAAAATCCCAACCCCCATCCTCTTATTTATTCCTTGGGCATCGAGGACGTAAATCCTTTGGCGTGTTTGGATTTATAGAATTACTGTGCTTTTGCTGAGCCTYGCGTCCCACTCCAATCAAATGACACGGCACTGCGGGTGATTGCATTTCTCCTCCCCTGCCTCCCTCCTGGCTGCTCCTGAGCCACGTCTCYTTGTGTTCCCTGCACCCTTTGCAGGSAAAGGTGGGCCCTTGGCAGCTGAGRAAARGSACAGGAAAGGGGAATCTGCCAATCTTCAGGTTATTCTGAAGGGCGACAACCTCCAGGTACCTTTTTTCCTGGCGCAGAATAAAAAATGCTAAGATGCTTTTCCAGGAGGGATTTCATCAGCTGTGCTCCAGGCCTCCTCTGAAACCGGAGCGTTTCCGTGGTGGCTGGGGAGAGGGGGGAGTTATAAATATCTTTCTCAGCTCTGCTTGGCTTCTCCTCAAGATAAATAGAAGTGAAAGTCAAAAGTAGAGGCTTGGCTCTCTGCAATCTTTTTCCCGAGTCCCCAGGGACCTGAGCACAGGATGCTTTTGTGATGGGAAGACACTTCCTGGTGTTTCTGGGGTCTTGGAGGATTTCTGGTGTTTCAGAGGTCTCTCTCCACACTGCCTGAGRCAGGTCTCAGATTTTGCAGTGATCTCCATGCCTGGGGTCCGGTGGCTTCTGTCGTGGGAAGCCTCAGGGGGCACTGGAGCATCGCTGAGAAGTCAGCCTGAAACAAGAGCAGAAAAAGTGTCAGTGGTTGTCCTCTAAATCTTGTAGCATGTTTACTCTCAGAAAGTACAGCCACATTACCAGAAATCAATAGTTCTAGCAGCGTTCCTGCCTGGGAAACACACAGCTGCTCGGACACGYAGGAGGTGGTGAATCTTATAAAAGCCGGGGGAATACAAAGAGCTTTGGTACAAGGGCTTTGCTGCACTTTGCTGCACTTTTAGCAGTGTACAAATGGAGGGCCCTTGACCTGGGCAGTCTTCTGRGGCTTGCTGATCATCCTTCATCTCTGATGTGCCCGAGGCTATGTGAGGCAAGAGGGGCTGGGAGAGGGTTTGTCTCATTAACTAATTTTTKCTTTGAAGTACCTGTGTTTAGTAAGAAAAACAGGTTGTGGTATGCAACAATAATATAAACAAGACTCTTCCTTTGGCTGCTTTGTGGAAAGGTTTGACTTCTAGTKCTGCTCATGAGTCTGACACATCCCAGCATTTCATTTGTTTTCTTCACAGAATCCTGGACTGGTTTGGGTTGGAAAGGACCTTAAAGACCACCTTGTTCCACCTCTCTTGCCAATGCACAGGGACACTTTACACCAGGTCACTCCCAATCCCATCCAGCCTGGCCTTGGACATTTCCAGGGATCCAGGGGCAGCCACAGTTTCTCTGGGTAATGTGTGCCRGGGCCTCACCACTCTCACAGGGAAGAATTTCTTCCTAATCTCTGAATCATGCTCGGGCAGTGGGAAAGCCATTCCTTCTTGTCCCATCATTCCATACCCTTGTCCAAAGTCCCTCTCAGCTGCCTTGGAGCCCCTTTAGGCACTGGAGGGGGCCCTCTACAAACCATAGTGCTCCTTGTTTACCAGCACACCTGCCACTSCCTCTGTTAGGAATGAGAGAGGTGGAGAGTGCTCTGTGAAGGAAATTAATATCAATATGAACAGCCATTGGGACAGGGACTGGTGTTAAGGTTTGGAGTGCAGTGGGCATGATGGCAGAGCGCTGCTTCATTCTGGGGTCAGCCAAAACAAAAAGAGAAAGGTGACCAACCCCTTTTTACTGCCATCTCTTATTAATGAGACATTTTATCCTAAGTCCTCCAACACGAACGTCGCAGGCTTTTGGGAACATAATTAATCTTTAATTGTATAAATCTTTAATTGTATGAAATGGAGTTTGTATCGCTGTCATCATTTCTCTTTTCTCTTTCCCTCCTCTCTCTGTTTGAGATGCTTCCTTAGCACAGCTTCTTTTCCACAGGGTGCTCTGCTTTAGGGCAGTGACCCGGTGGAGCCACCATTCACAGTGTCCCTGGAGGCCACGCTGCTGCCCTGGGGTCTCTTGCTCTGCCCCAAGACGGGCAGGGAATCACTTTCCTTATGGCACTTTTCCTTTGTGGAGTGACAGCAAACCCAGGAATTGTCCCGAAAGAAATCTAGCTGCTCTCCTCTGGAAAAAAGGGTATTTACAAACTAGAATACTCTGGAGAGAACCAACAAAAGAGCAGTTGTGCCCAAATCAGTGCCAGGCAGAGCCAAATGCCTCTTTGGAGGAGGTGAAGTGCAGCCTTTCAGATGCTAAGTAGGTATTTGGGATTTCAGTCATTCCCTCTGTGGAGGAATTGATGCACCATTGGCTCTAGGAGGATTAATGTGTTGGCTTTGCTTCATGCCTTCTGTAAGGGCAGGAAGGGCTGTGGGACTGTGGCAAGCCCACGCCTGCAGGGCCAGATAGAAAATTGAATAGGAGGCAGATGGAATGGACATTTTGGGGATCTCCAAGGTGGGGAGATGTCGMTATGCAGGTTCTCTGTGACTCACAGCTCTCAGGTTAAACAGAGCTTCAAAATTAGCATCTCCACCGAGAAGCTTTTCCTGGGGCACAGCTGATGTTCCCAGGTAGAGCAATTTCCTGCTGCTTAATGGAACAGGAGGAGCATTTTACGCTTGGACACGATGCTTTTCCAGCAATAACTTCTTGTAAGAAATTCTGATGTCATTTTTTCGGTCTGCTCTGTAGGTTGGATTAATGGGCAAGGACACGCCCCCCGGGTGCCGGAGTTGGCTTGCTTTCCTTAATTTGCACTCAAGTCTTTGCTGAACAAAGACAGATTTGTTGAACAAAGCGGGGTCAGTGCTGGTGTGGGGAGCCTTGTGCCTCTAGCCTGCTAGTTTGAATTAGGACTGAGCTGTAACTGTTAAGTCCTGCGTCCTGTGGCCTGGATTGGTACAAACCTCCTGGCCTCAATCCTTGCTCCTTGCAGAGCCTGCAGCCTCGAGAGCCACCCGGGGGTGGTGCCTCCCCACGCTCCCTCAGTGACACAGGCAGCAAAACGGGAGGTTGGGCAGCTGCTGCTGTAGATAAAAAGGGTTCAAGTGCAGTCTTTAGAGGGAAAAATAATATAAAAACCAGTTTCATTTAAAGGCAAACCCAGTCTGTGAGTGGAGGCTTTTGACAGGGCCAGCTCCTGCGAGAGAGCCAAGGGCCAGCCGCAGGCTCCGTTTCTCTGGTGCCCTTCAAGTGTTTTTTTCTTCTCCCTTTCAGCTCTTCGAGAACTTCTACTTCGGGGAGGTGCAGCTGAACTCAGTGYGTCTCTCCCAGAGGTTCTCCTCGGATGCCTCTGGCTACTACGCCACGTCTGGGCAGCTGTGCTTCTCCTGAGGCGGCTGTGGCGGGTCTGCTCTGAGCRTGAATCCTCGGTGAAATGTTTTATAGGATCTGAATCTTGGATGGGAACCTGGGAACTTCAAGCAGAGATGCCTCATGACTCCTCGGAAGCATGGGAGCCATAGCATTTCTCTGCAGCTTTTCCTATACCTATTGCCTGCCCTCTCCGTGGGGATTGCCAGGCTTCTTCCTCCTCCTCTCCCCAAAATGTCACCAAGTTGCCTGTTTGATGTCTGTGGACTGTTTGCTTTCTGAGAAAACAACTAGAAGTGTGGCTTTTGGGGCACTGGGAATGTTTAAACATGGCTGTATTTCAGAGGAAGGAAGTTTGTTCTTAAAATAAGTATTTAAAATCCAGGAGAGCTTCCCCGGAGCACGATTTAACGATATTGAGGTCAGGCATTGCTTGGATCTCCAGCAGCGTGCCTGTGTGATGTAGATCTCCAAATAAATTAATTCCCTTCAAAAGCAAAGTGTTGATCTCCTGTTGCATTGATAGTTTCTGTAATTAAACTTCCAGCACACAACTATGATAATAAGAAAGYGTTGATGGTAAGAGCTCTTTCCAGTGACCGTTTTGGAGCGTGTCAAAAAACATATGCCTTGTAGGTGGTTTCTCCATTAAAAGCAACACCAAGCTCTTTGATTCTATTGTGAATCCTTCAGAGATCTCAAGACAACGTTGTTTTTTCCTGTAAATCTCCACGTTTGGTAAAAATAGCGATGCAGGCTTTCAACTTGCCCTAGGATAAACGTTTCGAAAAATGGAAGGTGCTGGTGCTTGGGTGTTCTGAGACAAAACAGGTGCTGCTGCCCATTCCTAGTTGCTTCCATGGATATGCAGTCACACTGTGGTAGAGGTGGACAGTGTCTCAGCTGGGGATAGGGATGCTCCAGCAGAACCCACCTGTCATAGTGATCATTTCTAAGGGGGTCTTCATCCCATTTCCTCCCTGCAGAGTGAGGTGGCTGTGTGGTCACGCACAAACAGCACTGGAGTCGTTCAGGAATTGGGACTGCTTTCCTTTCTCCCCCCAAATGTGTTTCTGTTTGCCTTTCCCAGACCAAATTGCCTGTCTGCTTTCAAGCCTGCCTGCCAGGCAATCAAATCATCTGTGCTTTTGCCGGCTGCCCTTGGTTGTACCCAGTTACAATTTTTGTGTCCTTTTCCACGGAGTCAAACGCCTCTGTGCTCTCCAAAAGCTGCCTCCCGAACGGTTCCCTCAGCAAGCAGAGCACCAGCACACACTCACAGGGAGGTGCTGAGAGCACTTAACACCGGTTGCTGTCATCTTTCCGCCAGCCTGAAGAGGTACTTGCAAATCTTGTCGGAACAGACCTGGGAGCTGCTCACGCAGCCGCCAGGAAAGGGGAGATGCACCTTGGAAGGCTTCTGCCTGATGGGTTTTTAACGACTCTCACCAAGAAGYTGAGGCAAACACGGATTTTTGACAATTGGAGCGTACTCCTCTTCTCACTTGTGTAAACATGTTTCAGTGATAATTCTTTAGGAAGCTGGTTGAATTTCGCTGGTAAGCAGCTTATCCCGCTGCTCTAGCTTGGCACAGCAAAATTCATTTCACACCTCTTTCCCCAGGCAGAATTAAGAATCCTGATATTTTCCCTGTCACCAGTGGGGTTTGCAGGCAGTTATCCCTCCCATCCTGAGGGTCCTGGGAAGGAGAAGAAAAGCTGGATGTGTGCTGTGGCATCCCTGGCTGAAGCTGTGCAGGAGCTGTAGCTGAGGTGAATTGTCACTTGTTGCCCACCCAGATTTCAGCCTGCAGAGAGGGGGAAATCCAAAAGCAAAACCTTGGAATAGGGGTGTGAGTCTTCCCTGGAGCCCTAAAATGCTGTGCTGGCATGGCTGGTGAAGGGGAACCACACAGTGGGCATTGCAGGAAGAGGGGTTGGAGGATGTGAGATGTAGGGTGGGGACATGGCAGGGACAAGGGGTTRTGGGRTAGGGRTGCAGTAAGGACTGRGAATGSAGRATGTGGGGTACAGAATGGAGATGYGGAAGGAATGGGGGATATGGGGTGRKTGYGTGGTGAAAATGAGGGATGTGGGGTGTCTGGTGCTGGATGGGGATGTGTCAGGGGATGCAGGATGGGGGATGTGAGGTAGAGACCTAGCAGGAATGAGGGATGCTGGGTCCTGAAGGATGCAGGATAGAGGTATGGCAGGGATGCAGTATGAGAACGCGGCAGGGACCAGGGATGCAGGATAGAGGATGCGGGAAGGGGGTGTGTCAGGGGAAGCAGAATGGGGAATGCAGGATGGGAACAGGGTAGGACGAGGAGTGCGGGATGAGGACTTCAGGATGGGGGTGTGGCAGGGAATGCGGGATGCAGGATGAGGGASGCGGAACGCGGGACGGGGACAGGTCAGGGACGAGGGTGCAGGATGGGGRCAGAAGGAGGACCGGCGCTGCCGCCGAGCTGTGCGGTGCCGGCGGCTCCCCCGCCCCGGTGCCGGCGCGCAGGTGCGGCGGGCGCGGCGGAGGCCCC